ATTATATATATAGATAGATAGATAGATAGATATATATATAGATATAGATATATATATATAGATATATATATATATATATATATATATATATATATATATATTTGAGTGTGTAATTTGCTTTTTTTATAGAAGTGGTATTTTTTCGCTTCAAACCTCGCTGAAGGGGGGTTTAAACTTAAAACCCCTTTGGTTACTCTCAAAGATTTTTGAATGTGCAATTTGATTTTTTTTTATTTTGATTAGGTTGTTTTTTTTTTGGCTTAAAACCCAACTGGAGGAAAGGGGGTTAAACTCAAAACCTCCTTTGGCTACACTCATAGATTATGGAGTGTGTAATTTGCTATTTTTTTATATTGAAGAGGTATTTTTTTTAGCTTTAAACCCCGCTGAAGGGGGGTTTGAACTCCAAACCACTTTGGCTACGCTCATAGCATTTTCAGTGTGTAATTTGCTTTTTTATATTGAAGAGGGGGTTTTATAGTAAATTTCGGAAGGGGTTTTAAAATCAAAATCTTCCTTAGCTATGCTCTTGGAATTTGGGGATTGTCGTTTGCATTATTTTTGTTTTGTAAGGTAAGGGTTTTAAACTCAAAACCCTATTGGCTGCGCTGGGTCAAGTGATGGTTTAGTATTAAAACTCACTGAAATAAACAAAATCAAAGCAAAAAATCAGTCATTAAAGTCCGTCTACCCCTCCCGCAGGGGGGATTACGATACGTTCATGAACTATATCTATTGTATATTACTATTACAGTGTTATTATTAGTAGTCTTGTATTAGTAAGTATAAGTGTTAATAAATAATTAGTATTAGTTAGTAACAGTTGACCTACGAATTATTATTAGACTTTGTCTTAGTGACTTAGTGAGTCTCACTGTGAGACAAACTAGTCCTAAATGACCTAAACTAATAGTTATTATTTTAAATTAATTAGTGGCAATAATTCTTAACTAAGTTATATCTATAATCGAAAGTTATTAGCTTATTATTTAAATAGCCTTTAAGGAATTTGGTTTTAATTTTAATACAAGAAAACGATAGCTGTAAACACAAAGCGGAGAAAAACTGTCAACAGACTAAAGAATGGGTGAAGGTGAAGTTAAATCAGTATTTGAAGTAAAACGTAAATTAGCAACAAATACTAATACAGCTAGAGTTAATAGTCTTTTGTTATGTGTTGCCAGTAGTACAGTATTGGCTATGATTAATTGTACAGTAAACTATTACGTTACTTTGGAGCCCTGAAATAGTGATGTGTGGTGCAGTTTGCTGAGAGACTTTATACTAAGAATCGTTATCATTTGATTTAGCGTTATTAAATATATACACGATAAGACGGATAAAGATGCCCTCAAAGTTATGCATATTGGCTGCAGGTTACCCATTAACCCATCAACATTGGTTATACAGATCCTGAACAAATAGGAAGGTTAACCTATTTTGGCAGTGTTATCTCGAGTGATGGAGATACATATCATGGTGTTGCATGTCGGATTGGAAATCAAGAGCAGTCTTTCAATAAGTACGGCCTATCTGAACAAACACATCAATTAGCCTGGAGATTAAAATCCACCTACTCAATACAATCCTTGTCCCAACGGCCATCTACGCTTCGAGGCGTGGAAGGTTGAAAAGGCTGAGCCTGTGATGGCTGAGTAGGATCATTAGAATAACATACCGAGGTGATGTTATCCATTGAGAAATCTTTTCCCGCACAGGCATTCGCCGTCTATAGAAAGTGGCGACTGAACGCTGATTGACATTTGTGAGACATTTCATTATACAAGACGAGACACGTTGAACAGAGTCAGACTGCATATGAAAGCCGAAAAGAGGAACGCAAAAACAAGGCAGTGAGTCCATGTCTAACACAGCGTCACACCTTTTTGAGGAGTTCTGTGGGCACCAGCCTTAGACTCATTTCTGTGGATGGAGCTTGCTTGCGGCCACATACGTTTAATGACGTGTGAGGGGCTTAAGTCTACGTGTTTCTGAATAGATTACAATATAAAATGTTACGTTTGCCAATCATTCTATTTATCTACATTTGTGATCTTCAGAAACTCTTTACTTGGCGTTTACAACGCATTAATTTTCTCATAATAAGAAGATTACAAGTATACAGCATTAAGTTAAGAAGGTTTGGGACATGTTGATACTAAACTGTAAAAGATATTCGAGGTAGTAATTTTCTTTTTAAAAAGTTGAATTTTGTAAAAGTGCATTTTTCGACTTGGGTGTCACCCCCTGACGGGTGTCACCCGGAGCGGACCGCACCCCCCGCACCTGCCTAGTGACGCCACTGGATCTACCTAGTGCCACTTTTCCCCTACTGATTGTGTCTATTTTTTAAGAGCTTCATGACGATTTTGCATCCTGTAAGTACACAACACAAAAAATTATACATTTAACTAATTCCCGTGTTTTTTTCCAGTAATCAACACTTTAATTAATTTCCATAGTTGAAAAGCTGGAAAGCTAGCTGCCTGAGCTAGAGACCACTGTGCAGTTTGCTCAGATAGGCTATAGGACTACTGGACTATTAATCTAAACCCTCTAGCACGATAAAGCCTTGTTTATTACAACAAAAAATGTTATTGTGATAAATATAGCTCTTCCTTTCTGCTCAAAGTTGAGTACAATCTTATTTTCTTCAACTGTATTTCAGATGGCCATTTTTCCTTTTCAAAAGCCGACTGCACTCCAGACACAGAAAGATGAACTTGTTTCAGCAATGCCTGCTTTAGACCTAATTTTTACAAAGCTTATATCAATTCATTCTGTTTATCTGTCTGTCTGGTACTAATTTTGGACACGTTATTTCCACCCACTTCACATATCCGGATCGAGTTGAAAGTTTGCATTATTATTATTTATTGTTTCTAACAAAATATGAATCAAATAAATTTGCCATTTAATTAATTAAGTAATGGTAGTTAATTAATTAATTTAGTTTGATATTGATTACGTGAAACAAATCTACAGTTTTTATATTAATGACTATAAATGCATAGCTCTTCCCTTTTTATATGCTGGAATTTTGTTTCAATGCGAAAATAAAAATTATAAGGCTTGTCTTCGGTTTCGAAGAAAATGAGAAATGCAGTATTTTCCGTTCCTACGTAGCGACCTACATATTTTGCCAAACCCAGTGCACCAGAGCAGACATAACCATTGTCCGCCGGAGGTCGATTTAGATTTTCTTTTCGCCATCTACGTCTGTCCTCGGCAGTGGATTTTTCTGTTGGTCCTAAAGGTAGATCCCGCGGCCCATTCCTACCCTGTGTTTAACCATCGTTCTGTTGAGATCTACGCCTAACAAAAATACGTTTCTACAACTCACATTTGATTAGCTCGAAAATGATGATAAAAATTACTTCTGTTCCTCAGAAATAGTAAAATGCATCGTGCCGCTCGTTTCTATTTTAACATTTGCACTGTATCAACAATATTATGGATTACAAACTTATATCATCTTACACGAATGAAATTTGTATCTGGTACAAAGTTTATACCTTTTATTTTCTCAAATCTCCTCTAGGAAAGCAGTAAAGGAGGAGGGGAACGGTTCGAACTCGGGACGACAGTCCAATACGCATACACCCGCTACACCACCACCACGTGTTCGTCACCAATACCACATTTTTATGTAGGCTATCAAAAATACTTTCCAATTGAAGATTTAAGATTATTTACATCATAGTCCAAACGTCTGGCCCTAAATGAGGTCGGAACGATGTCGCCCACACATCATTTCTCCCCCTCTTCACGCAGCTGATGTATCCAAAGGAACTGCAAGTGCCGATACAGTCCGGATTCAGCTATGTCGTAGGCTCTTCCAGGATGTAGCACTAAATTCTGCTAACTGACTAAGGGTCACCAGCTCCTGATTTTTCATTAGGGTTGACTCGTGACGCCTTTCCCGTGACTGGGTATAGCTGAATTCAGAGTTTTCCTTCTCCTAGGTGGGTAGCCATCGCTAGCGAGCTCTTCCTGCACCTGGTTTATGCACCAGTTACACGCTCTTTTGCCCATTCTCCTGTTTGTTAAAAATAATTTCGCCAGACTCAATATCTGAGTCACACGTGAAGGAATGGAGTTGGACTGGTTGTCAGAGGCTATTTGAGACGCATGCCAAAAGGAAGCATTTTATAGGTAGTGGAGTGCTTACATCCATTACCACTTCCGGCAATGACAACCTTGCGGAAACAACAGAGGGATAATCTGACTGCAAATCCCCGTTGCCTTGCAGTATTAAAAATTAAAGTGAAAACCTGGGGCTCATACGGAAGGGTCTTGTACAGACATGGTGACGTGTGCAAAAGTAGAAAAATAGCTCTAGATCTAAAATGCTAGTTATGTGAGTTAAATAGGCTGATGAGTAGTAATCCAGAAAAGAATTGCGTGTACAACATAGCCTACTATGGAGCAACTGAGGAGATGAGCGATCTTTGATTCCAAAGATTAATGATGAGTGCAGTATTTTACATGACTACGCAAGCCAAGTTACGACCTGGATATCTTTCGGCATTTCCAAGGACAAATGATCCACTGGTCTTAGTTTCTTCTTGAGACTGGGCAGCATCATGCGTGACTAGTCAAGCCGGTTTACAGTTATCACGTAAACTATTTATTTGAAATTTCGACACTACAACAGCGGGAAGCTCTCTATATTTGTTAACAAAAACATAAACAATTTAATCTCTCAGATGCTCAAAATATCCTCCTTCAATATTGGAATGTTCTTCTGTTTTGTATTTGGTATTACTAATGTGAGCAGGTCAGGGTGGCGCTACCTGAGTGAGGCCTCTTTTTTTGTGTTACTTGCTGCTCAACATTTGTTCATTTTACAGTAGGCAGATGGTAGCTCTACTGGGTGGGCCCAATCTGTGCACCTCGGTATGGTGACCAAGGGGCTATAGTAGCCTAAGCAACCAGACAGCACAAGCAAACTAAACTAAACTAAACTAGCTAACTAAAAAAACAAACTAAGATTAAAATGAACTTATATACACTTTATTTACACGAGGAAAAAAAAACAAATCAATAAAAATATATGTGCAAAAGAAAATATACGTAAACAACTAGATAAACAAAAAACTAAACGACTAATCAACTCTACTTAATCTATACTACTACAACTACAATCACTATCCAACAAACCAAACCCAAATAAAACCACTAGTTAACCCGATTCACCAAAATCCACCAAGATACCTTACAAGACAATAAACCACTAAAATAACCTACAAAACAATAAACTATTGTAACTGAGAACTACAGCAGACAGCTATGCAGTAATACAGTAAGGGAGTAATGCAGTAATAACTGTGGCAGACAGCAATGCAGACAGCAATGCAGTAGCAGCAGCAATGCCGTAGCAATACAGCAGCAATGCAGTAGCAGCTATGCAGTAGCAGCTATGCAGTAACAATACAGCAGTTTGGCAGTAACAATACAGCAGTTTGGCAGTAATTATAGCCTGCAATTACAAAATAAACAAACATAAAACAATAATGATAAATATAAAAAATAAATATGAACTAGACCTAGTCCTAGTCTAGCACATACAAGCATGAGGTAATTTCAATTACCTCATGTAGCTAATAAAAGCAATACCAGCCACAACCAACACAGGTCAGGCTAGACCACAATAGACACAAGCTAGATCTAAATGATACTATTAACACTAAACAAGCCGCCATGACAGCGATGCTTAGGCCGCAGCCATCTTTTACATAAAAAAATAGGACAAGATGACAACATCAACAGAGGGGATATCCTAACGATAAAAATATTTAAGAAACATAAAATAATAAAATATTTACACCTAGACATAGTATAGAAAAGCAAAAGCATTAAGGCGGGGGAAACTGGGTGACACTACCCAAGTCTACAGAGCTTCCGGCTCCATCAGAGGCAATCATGGCTAATTAACTAGCCAGTGACGCCACTAAACTAATCAGTCTGCATCTAGACTATAGCAATAGATGCAGAAACAATCAATACTAATACAATAAAAGAAAGCAAAAATAAAAACAATTCACAACTTACAGGCGGTCCCAGCCGAAATAGCACTACACAAAACTAGCTCTACACAAACACCACTGTCCGCACTGACCACTGGTCGAGACAAAAAAGAATTCAACGTGGTCCCGGAGCCAGCTATAACTGGTCAGCGCGAACGTATCGGAGAGCATGACGTCACACTAATTATTTAAAACTAAACTGGACTACCTATTTCCCTAATTTGTACCTAGCCTTACACAACAATAAAATCTAGCAAATTACTAAAGACACGGACTACAAAACATTATATACCAAATTAAACAGCATTAAAAAGAGAATCTTAAAATTTAAATCCTATAAAAATACAAAAAGAAGATAAAAAGTTATTTCTATTCTAAACTCATATGGGGGCTCTATACCGTTTACAGACCTGCACATAAACTGATATAAAAAAAATAACAACTAATCCAACACTAATGCCAAAGACAAAAATAAGCAAAACTAACCAGGGACAAAAAATAGAAAATAACATCCACAGCTCCAAGGCTAGTTAACTATTTTAAAAACTACTTTTCCTCTACGGGTAAAACACAAATAACAGAAAAAGACTAAAACTAGCAGAAAGTTATAAATAGCGGAAACTACAAAATAATCAGCACTGAACTATAAAAATAAAAAAGGACACTAAATAACAAACATCATAGCCCTGGCCTATGTAAATAATATAAATTAAATTAGATCTAGGAGCGCAAGCTCACACTAAGAAAGTAGATTCAACCATATAGAATATAGTATACTGATTACTTTTGGGCTATACATTATAGAATGCTTTAAATATTAATATGGTGTTTTTAAAAAGGTAAAAAAGATTATGTGGAAAAGTATGTATTCATTTGGTGCTTTCTTGCCTGTATGACCTTTTTCATTTTATTTTAAAATATGCGTTATATGTAAGTATACATAAATTATTTTTTTTATTGTTTCTGGGTGTGTCGAAGCCGTGACTGCGTAGCGACGTCCAAAACTGCACTCCACATTAAATGAGACAACCTTGTAATGAAAACAAATTTTATAGTAATAATAAATATTTCAAAAAGTTTGGACAACTTTTGAATAATTTGCGAATATTCTGATACGTTTTTTGGCGTTTTCGTCTAACTAGTAAGGATTTTAGAAAATATTTCTTAGACTTGGACACCTACGCTGGTAGTTTTTTTTTTCTTCTTAGTTACAGCCTAATAAATAAAATAATTTATATCAATCAAACAATAGAAGAAAAAGTTCAGTATCACTATTGGTCAGTTTGCACTTTCCGATTGGGATGAATGGCTTGCAATTTTAGGGGGAAAGTCTCGAGACACTAATTGGAGGCTTAGTAATTTGATTTTAAAAAAGCATTTAAATGAAGATCAAATATACAAATAATATGTGATGGAAGATGTACATGTGGTGGGTTTGGCACAGAAGAAATATAAACGATGAAGACAACTCTTAGGCCAATATAGATCTTTTTATTGTTTTCTAAGGAACTGCACATGGCAAATAAATAAAAATTTAAATACAGTCTCAAATTACATATGGGTATATGTTTAACATAACAGGCCTAAATGATTAGACCAAGTTGTACATGCTATTAGGTGTCTCTGTTGATAGTGGTTTTTCTACAGGGTAGGTAACTAGCCCTACGCCCAACCCTCCTCCTTTCTCAGAAAAAAATAACGAAATTTTAAAGTATAAACAAATCATCTCTTATAAGCACATAAGAGAGATATTAACACCAGAAACATTGTAAAAATTAATGACAAAGTAGTTGTTTTACATAAAACAAACATATATATATATATATATATATATATTGTTTTAAAAGTAATGCTCGTTTTCTTTCCAGACATAAAATCATAACAATTTAATAAAACAAATCTACACTGGTTCTAAGAATACATTTACAAGATGGGCAGTTAACATTCTATATAAGACCTATTTGGGCTAGTATACTACAGTCACGCAATTCAATACCTTAATTAATTTACATGTATTTTTTTAAATACGGATAGTCCAACAACATGGACGAAAACCAGAATAGCGATATGCAATTTAAACTACTAAATAAACATATAATCTATTATAAGAAACACTAAAAATGTATTCAACACATGGTGTAGAACAAGGCACGAAATGCGTTACAAATTGCAATGAAAACAAAATAGTTCTATTTGCAGACTAATTCTGCAGTGTTAGCTGCTGAGATCTTTTGATCAATTAGTTACTTAGTCAGTCAGTGCTACTTTGCACTTATAGCATATATTCATGTGAGACAAAACAATGAACTAATATAAAAACATTAAAGCTATACAGCAATGCAAACCTTCTGGAAAGATATTTCTATGCACTATGTTTTTCAAAAAGTTATTATAAACATTTAATTAATGCAAGAAATCAAAGATAATACAAATGTGAAAAAGAGCATACAACATGTCTATGCTTTGGAGATTAAGAATATGTGTACAACATGTGTAATAAAATTCTTTTTTTAAAGAACTGTCCATTGTCACATCTATATTGAGATAATGAGAATATTGAGGATGTAGATCTGTATTGATTTATTTAGTAAAAGATTATTTTTTTTTGTAATAATAACCAATGTTACTTTGATTCAGGTTATAATCACTTCCACAGTGAACATGCGTATGTTTATATCCAACACAATAGACAGAAGCACCAGCACTACCCGGACATGTTGCTGTAGAGTACTTTAGCTTAGTAAACTCCATGTCTTCATTGTAATCTGAGACCTTGTTGTTCTCTACCCACTGACCAATACTAACATATTTAGGACAGGTATGCGGATGTGAGACAATAAAACAAAGTCTATCTTCAGAGTTCTCGTATTGTTTTAATATATTTGACAATAAAACATTTTTGCGTTTACAAATCTTTTGAAGTTTTTCTCCTAACTCGATGTCACAGGTCACAAATTTGATTGCACAAAAGTCTGTATCGAAATCTGCTTTATGCAATAAAGGTTTAGAAAGATGCATCCCTGAACTGCTGTAATCATCATCATAGAACAATCTACAAGTAGTTAGCGAGGCCTCAATTTCATCAAAAACTGTAAAAGTGGTCGTTGATACAAATATTTCATACCATTCCTGACTGGGAATCTTAGATTCTACGCATTTTGCACATGAACATGCATCGTGAGATGTATTACTAAAGTCTATTTTTAGAGAATATAAACATATATTCCGTTCAATCTCCTGACCATTAACAAAGTGAGACAGAGCGAATATTTCTCCACTAGAGCCTCTATTAATCCCTCTTACTGTTTTCCCGTATAAAGGGTACTTTTGATCAGTGTTTGGATAAACTTTAGGTCTGTCAGGACTAACCATTTTTATAGATAATGATACAGTCAAGTCAGCTATAGTTGTAATCAGTTCAGACAATTTTTTTTCCTGATAATTTTCAGGTAAATGTTGTAGTGAAAATTCTTTAATAGGAATAAATTTTCCATGAACTTCATTTTTATAGCAGTGACGAAAATGACTAGTTAATTTCCGTTTAGTATTTTCTAAATTTCCTGTAGATAGAAAAAAATATTATACAATATCAAAATATTTTATGACTTACATATATTTTAGCGGCCCCTGTAAGGGTAGAAGCCGCTTTTATATTTCTGCAAAATGTGCGTCTGTCACACTCAGATCTTAAAAACTAGAAGAGAAATGAACACGCGATGCGGCTTGCAACGGCTTCTATTTGTTTTCTAAAATCAAACCATTTATTTTATAAACATTTTTATGCAAGCGATTTTTTCATAAAAGTACATCAATTCTAAAACAATACATAAATGTAAGGGAGATTATGTTTACATAACGTTAAGAAAGAAAGATATTTTTTTGTACTTTCAGTATCACTTAGTCAAATATATTTATATCAAATGTACAAGAAATGTTCACAACAGATATAAATATTAGTTAACTATGTTTTTTTCAGGTGTACCAGTTACTGAAATTAAAATGAAACCTTTATGTTTGTTGATAAATGTCAAGAATGTACTTTGTATGTAAATACCACGCACATATTTTAATATCGACATTTTATGTGGCGTCTTTCCTTCAGCAGCGTGACTTTCCTACAGTAGCATGACTTTCCTACATAAGCGTGACGGACGGGGAGACATTGTAGTTAATTAGTTTCCTCAAACAAATTGAATAATCGGATTTTTTAAATTTTTTTATTGGTGCCCTCAACAGGATAAAAGTCACTTACTTTTGTGCGTTTTGTCTGTCGGTCTCTCTGTCCGACAAGTTTAGATTAAAAAAAAGACTAAAAACTATTTAATATCTGATGTAACCTTTAATGTTCCTTCCAAAACATCTGGATAGTTTTGAATATCTATAATAGATTGTTCCGGATGATTTTTAGAAAAACAATGTC